GGGGAGAAAGGCCAGAAGAAGAGGTTTGCTTAGGAAGAAGAGATAGGAGGGCCCAACACAGATTCTAAAAGGAACTTGTCACAAACGCTTTGGCAAGACCATTTACAGGAATATCATTTGCTTAGGGGATGTTCTTCTTGACCTCCCCCTTTTCAACTGGGTTGGTTTACAAGTCAAGAAATTTCGTTATTTTACATCTAGGAATGTCCAAGATAAAATTAGAAGGGGGTGCTCTCAATCTATCATGTTGTTCACTGGATTAAAATAATAATCACAACGAAAGGCAATTTCAAACTTGGAGATCGTGAACGTAGGATAAAGATAGAATTTCTCTTGACAGCCCCCATTTGTAGATCACTGATGTTGTCAGCTATTATGAAGATTTAGCTCTTTATTTTCTTTACCTTTTACAGCCACACAGGAAGAGGTACAGACGAGGAAACTGAGCCAAGAGTCTATCCAGCAAGGTGTATATAGAAACTACTTACAAATTTCCCATACTGATGGCAGAAGCATAGTTACCTGCAGGGCATAAAGTCAGCAGGTCAGCAGGCTGCTGCTCCTTTCCTCTGGCTTTTGTTAAAAAGGAGACAACAGTCCTGGGGGAAAGACTTGTCTGTCTCTCTGAAAGCTAAAAAACGGTAAGAGGGCCTTGAAAACAAGTACTAGTTTTAATATCAACTGACACCTTAGCGACATACAATATGTGTCTTATTGTGACCTTAAGGGGACTTGAAGAGGAAACCAGAGCTACCAGGTTGAAGTTTCCGCCAGCACCAGCTCGATTTTGAGACCCTAAGAGGTCTTAAATCAAGAAATTAATTGTTCTAAGTGGAAGGTTCAATCACCTGAGGTAGCCTCAGGTGCATCTTTGATTTGAAAAGATGGAAACGCGGTGAACTCAGAAATATGTAATTGTTGGGTTTACTTTTTCTTGAGGTTCTGTGGCCCCCGTTTTCCCATTCCCCACCCAGTCTGGACTACCCGGCAGCTACCTTTTACATTACAATGGCCTTGGTGAGACTGGCAGACAGGATTAACTGAGAATTCGCAAGGGTGTGTGTGGGCGTGGGGCTGCCAGGAGGGGCGGGTCTGAGGATGGTCGAGCCTTCCTTATAAATCTAGAGCCTCCAAATTTTTCACCTTCGGCTCCATTGGGCTGGTTGTCTCTTACTTGTTGCAGTGGTGACGCACTTCATCCTGTCTTTCTCAGACTCTTAACATCTGGAGGTCTTTCTACTCTTCTTAGCTCTTCCACCTAGATCCATAAGCCTGGGCCTTTCTTACAATCTCGCTCTTTTTTTTTTTTTCCGTCTACCCTTAACTCACCAACATGAGTGCAGATCCAGCTCTGCCCCTATGCCCGCCTGGCCCCGAAGCACCCAGTTCTAGGGACTCTTCTCCAATGCCTGAGATTTACGGGCCCGAAGAAAATTATGCATCCCTGCAAATGTCATCTGCTGAGACACCCCACGCGGAGACCGGTAAGGGGAAAATGAAACCTCGAAAAGCTGCTTTCCTTGAGGGAAAGTGAAAGGAGAAGGAGGGTCAGGGTCCTTCGTTTCCCTCGTGAACAATTATAGTCCATTAATACAAGCAGGTGTCCTCAATAAACCCTCTCAGCACCTGTCTCGGTTGTAACTTGGCGGGTGCCCGTTCACCTGTCCCAGGTGTCAGTTAAGAGACAAGGGCCCCAGGATGTGGGCATTTCGACTGTTCACTGGGTATTTGAGGGCTTATGTGCACAGACACTGTGGAAACACAAATGTGTTGTGATAAGTGAGCTGACGTCTAAATCTTCACGCGGTGCTGAGGACACAGTAACAGCAACTGCTAAGCCAGAAGTCCTAGCATCACAACTGGGGAGGGGGGATGCGGTGAGCCTCCCCTTTTTGATTAGTCTTTTTTCACGGAGTGCCAGAAACGGCGTGGCTAATGATGAATCTCCCCTTATTGAAACGTTTTGCCTTTGTACGACAGTAGTAACCGGCTCTTCTCCCACTCCTTGGCTCTGTGGGTGTTACTAACAGGGGCAGTTCTGAGTTTCTGGGGCCTCCTATGCCCACGTCTCTCCTACATCCTGGGGAAATGTTCGTCCCATTTTATGGTAGATAATTCTAGAGGGTTTAATCTGCTGACAGTCAAAGTGGCTAGAGCCCAGATTTGTGAAACCCGGTTTGGCTTCTAAATGGTAACCACAGGTGGGGGGTGGGGTGGGTGCTCAGGACACTGTAAAGGCAGTACATTTTTGTAAATCAGTCGGGCAGCAGTTGTTAAAAATGAAAATGTAAACTTTTACCATTTCTTTTTTTTTAAACTTTTACCATTTCTTAAGATTTGTGGTAACTCATTTTTTTAAGATTTACGGTAAAGATAAAGACTTAAAAATTGTTTACATGATGCTTACTCCAATAAGTAAGCAACTACTTTATTGGAATGTTAGATTTTTAATGTTACCCTGTTTTCCTAAACTTCATGTTGATGTCCTTTCTTAATTTCAAACGTTGAAAATACAGCGCTGGATCATGAGAAGCAGCTTGAGTATGAGCAAGCAGGCATAAGCAAGTGGGCACGCCCTCCTTAGCAAGCCAAGTGCAAGTTTTGTAGAGATCGTTTTTTAGGAGATGGCCCACTGTAGTCCTTGGCCTAACCCCATTTTCTTTCCTTCTAGGTCTACTCACAAGAAGCATAAGATTGTGAATTTTTGCCATGGAATAGAGACTAGGGGAGAACTGAGGTTGAGCACGGGAAATAAATACCTCAGTGCAATTAAGAGTTTAAGTGGTTACCAAATCTAGGCAATATACAGAACATGATTTTTTTTTATTTTTTGTTTTTTATTTTTATTTTTTTGTAGGAAATTAACTTTTAGTTAGAAAGTCAATACACGCCAGGTCCTGTGCTAGACAACTTTCTCTGTCACTTTGCTTTAATCAGTGAAGGATCTCCCTCTGTGACGGAGAGAAATACTTTTGGAAACGGGGTCCCAGAGCTAGTAAAGGCAGTCTGAAACAAAAGCCTATCAGAATTCCCAGTTCGTGCTAGTCCTGGTATTTGGAACTGGGCAGTAGTAAGCTGTGGATTTTAAAGGGTCCCCAGAATCTGATGTAGGTGATGATTAATTTTACAAAAAGGAGTCCAGTGATCATTCCCACCTTTCTGAGCAGTCACAGTGTAGGCTCTTGAGCATCAATTTGCAGTAAAAATCTTTTGCCAAAGAGGTTCGAGGGGCACCTGGCTGGCTCAGTCGGTGGAGCATGTGACCCTTGATCTCGACAATGTAAATTAGAGCCCCATGTTGGGTGGAGAGATTACTTAAAAATAAAATCATAAAAAAAAAAAAAGGTTTCAATCCCCTCTGCTTCCCAGCGGGTAAGCTGTTGGCCATGTCCATTGGATGTGAAATGGAGACAACTAGTTCACTTAGTGGGTTGGCATCACACGAAGATGAGCAAAGTGTTCAGGGTCACGTAAGAGTTTTTACTTACCTAATTCTGAGGTTGTGAGGACTTTAAAAATGCTATGAAAACAATAAATTTGCAAATATGATTTAGTATCTGCAAAGTTTTAGAGAAAAGTGTTGTTTTATGCCCCACAGTCTCTCCTCTTCCTTCGTCCATGGATCTGCTTGTTCAGGACAGCCCCGACTCCTCCACCAGTCCCAGGGTAAAACCACCACCCACTTCTGGAGAGGAGAGAACAGTGAGGAAGGAAGATATGGCCCAGGGCAAGAAACAGAAGATCAGGACCGTGTTCTCTCAGACCCAACTCTATGTCCTCAATGATCGATTTCAGAGACAGAAATACCTCAGTCTCCAGCAGATGCAAGAACTTTCCAACATTCTGAACCTTAGCTATAAGCAGGTAGGGTGTGTTTTGTACTCCTTGTAGTGACAAATAAAAAGACTCTTTTGCAGATGGGCATTACTAACATCTGTGTGCTCTGTGTTTGTGTACCCCCTACAAATAATTTTAATATGAAAGTGGGTTCTTTGTAACATTTCATGACCATCTTTTTTTTTTTTCCTAAGATTTTTATTCATTTGACAGAGGGCACAAGCAAGGGGGAGCGGCAGGCAGAGGGGGAGAGGATGAGGCAGGCTCCATCCAGGACCCCGGGATCATGACCTGAGCCCGAGGCACACACTTAACGACTGAGCCACACAGGCGCCCCTCATGACCGTCTTTAAATGTTCTCTTTAATTATGCCATAATTTATTTAACCACTTCTCCCTGTTGCACAAGCTAAAATGGTAAAAATGTTTCTGATTTCTCCTTGATCAGAGGAATTCTATATATTTCCACCTTCCAGGTTAGGAGAGTCCTTAACCAACACTGCTTCTCATTAAAATAAAAAGTGGAATCTTTTGTTTGTCTGTGTGTAGTTGATTACTAATGAGGTTAATCATTTTTCATATTCTTGCCTAATAGATATTTTATGGTATTCTATCACTGGTGCCATACTTCGAGAAAGACCTCCATTCCATAATTTTATAGTGTGTGGGTGTGTACACCTGTATGTACATACTTCTGGTCCTCCTTAATCTCATTTTTTACAGTTTATAAATCATCTGGAAATTGAAGTTTTGTGTGCTGTTATATAACTTGATAATTTCTAAATAGTGCTAGTGGTATATTTTATAATTCGTGAGTTAAAATTACCACCATTATCCTATAAAATATAGAAGTGTGCTTATGGGGCACCCGGGTGGCTCAGTTGGTTAAGCTTCTGCTTTCGGCTCAGGTCATGGTCCCAGGGTCCTAGGATCGAGTCCCACATCGGGCTTCCTGCTCAGCGGGGAGTCTGCTTCTCCCTCTGACCCTACCCCTCTTGTGCTCTCTCTCACTCAAATAAATAAAATTTTTTAAAAAAGGAGTGCGCTGGGCGCCTGGGTGGCTCAGTTGGTTAAGTGACTGCCTTCGGCTCAGGTCATGATCCTGGAGTCCCAGGATCGAGTCCCACATCGGGCTCCCTGCTCAGCAGGGACTCTGCTTCTCCCTCTGACCCTCTTCCCTCTCATGCTCTCTGTCTCTCATTCTCTCTCTCACAAATAAAATCTTAAAAAAAAAAGAGTGCGCTTATGGGGGGAGGTTTTTTTTACTGCAAAGTACCTTTTAACTGTGACTAGGGGGATGGGTAGACATCTAAATGTGAACTTTCTAGTGAGTAGATAAGTAGTGTATCTTCCTAACTGGTTAGCTTCCTAACTAGTTTATTAAAGCAGCCAGCTGACTTGAGGGGCTTTGAGATTCATTCACAGAACGTTTCCAGATTGCAGAAAGGACTCTAGAAGTTTCCATCTTGTTCCTGAGCTTTAGATACTGTCAGGGGGAAAAAATGTTAACAATATTCTTTGATCCCTGGTGCATCCACACTACTGGTATTTTATGTTTTCCTGTCACTTTTTTTTTGTAGGTGAAGACCTGGTTCCAGAATCAGAGAATGAAATGTAAGAGGTGGCAGAAGAACCACTGGCCAAAGGAGAGCAAGAGTGTGAGTCAGGTGACAGGAAGCTTTTAACTTTCTGCTTTCTTTTCACTGACTTCTTAGTTTTGTTCATTGCTAAACCATATAACCCCAAATGCACACAATTCTGATTTTCCTCCGAGCTTTTCAGTTAATCTGCCATTCCCTTTCAGAACAGCACACCAACCACAGAATACCCAGGCTTCTATTCCTACCACCAGGGATACCTGAGGAACACTTCTGGAAACCTTCCAATATGGAGCAACCAGACCTGGAATAACCCGAATTGGAGCAACCAGACCTGGAACAGCCAGTCTTGGAGCAACCACTCCTGGAATGGCC